GAACTTGTTGGATAGAACACTAACATATGGGTCTAATGTCTGAAACCTTCTGAAGCACAGATACATTTTTAGAATTAACAGGTTCAGACACAATTTCCCTACTAGCAAAACAGCAATTAGACTCTCAGAAACAAGGCAGCTAAGTACAGTCTTAGTCTATGTGAAAGGCATGTAAGAAAGAATACCCTAGTTTTTGGAGTATTGCAGCTAGGAGAATAATAACAACTAGAACACTGAAAGCATAATTCTGACTCTAATTACTAGCTGTGTTAACTAGCTAGTTAATCTCTCTAATCCTTAGTTCTCTTATCAGTTCATTGGGCATAACAGTAGTGCTCAGGGGCCAATCTTTTATATTCATTGTAAAGAATATATACATACATATAATATATATATATTGTATTAGATCATAAGGAAAGGGAATCAAGAGAAAGAGATGCACACGGAGAATGAGAGAGAGACAGAGCATCAATCCATACAAAGGAAACAGCACATGCTGTTAGTATGTACTTTTACCTAGTTCCTGAGATGATACATATTGCTGCCCAAGCCACAGAGAGAAGGATTACATGCTGTAGTGGATTCATGTGTAGTTACATGAGAAAAGGTGATGTCAGAGATCAGCACAGAAGTTTGGCCACATGGAACTTTGTGTAAAATTATAAAATTGTTGTTACGCATGTTTCCAGGTGTAAGATGAAGTAACACAGCTATTGTAACACTGCTGCTAGGTAATAAACCACAAAACAAACAGCTAAACTAGAGAGATAAATTTTAAGCATATTTTAAAGGAGCTTAAAGTCAAAGAAATAAAGGTGGGAAGAAAAGGTGAAATCAGACAAATACGATGAATTGAGGAAGTGCAAGGAGGGCATAGTGAAATATTGGACTTGGAAAGTGGGAAAGTTTGAATAAAGAAACACAACATGATGGAGCAACATCTTGGTGGTGAACAACATTTGCTTCACAAATGTGGGAACCAGAGTTTGGAACACAGCACACACATAACAGCCCTGATGTCCAACAATCCCCTATAACTCCACACTTGAGGTATCTAGTGCCCCTTCTGTCCTCTGTGTATGTACACAGAGGCAGATACACACCTAAGTAGATGTTCTTAAAATATCTAAAGTGGAATATAAATATGAAACTTGCTATAAGCTGCAAGATTACACAGTAATTATACAGGCATCTATCACAAGATAACTCAGAAGAATTAAGGATTCTAATGATGAATGAAACCAGTATAAATGTTATAGTTGGCATTATAATCTCATGAATGAACTTTCTTTCTGTAGATTCTTCCTGTAGTTTATTCCTTTCTGTAACAAACTTGGGATTTACTTACCTCAGTTTATCACTATCTGATTAGTTACTGGGAACAAACTTCTCCCATGCATTTAGAGTTTTACTGATTACACTCCCTAGCTATGTGTAAAACCTGTTCTCCATTAACAGGTACTAGTTTACTGATTACATTCTTTAGATATGTGTGCGACCTGTTTCCCAATATCAGGTCCTTGTTCCTGTCTCCATTACAAAATGCAGAAATCTGCCTTCCCGTGATTATCTTTATTGACAGGCATTTGGTCAGGGTTTACGGTCCAGGCAAAAACATCTTAAGACATTACCAGATATCCAAGAACATAGAATTACTACACATCCAAAGTTGTTGATTCATAGATGAATAGAAAAAATAAGCATGTTCTAGAGAAGCAATAACCTACACAAACCCTGCACTAAAAGATGCTCAAACTTCTTGTTTTATTTACTCAAGATTTTAACTCAGAGATTTACTGCTCCCTCCATGTTTCCCCTGAGAAGATAAAGACAACAGTAATCAGCCCATTTGCTTATCCTCAGGGAAAAGTAAACTTTCATGAAGCTCTGTTCTGTCACTGAGGCTAGAGCACTGGTAAGCCCAAGTTTTGTTTCTATTGCAAATTAAACTTAGACCCTCTCTTGGACCTACAGCCTAAGCAATCATGCTAAAAGTTTCTCCCTAGCAGTTTTAGTTTATTGCTCTGTGTATAAAACTTATCTGCCTTGCTGACTCTGAGAAACTCAAGTCTCAATCAAACATACATACATACATACATGCATACATACATACATACATACATACATACATATTTTTTCTTTATCCCCCCAAACTGGACAAAGACAGAATATAGAGGGGCAGAATACAGAAACAAAGAAACAGAGACAGAAATAGAGATAGGAACAGAGAAGCGGTGAACGGAAGAGAGAAAGAGAGTAGGAGAAGAATAAGAACATTCAGAGGAGCAATAATGTGTGAGTCAGTTCCTTTTCCCCTCAGATTTTACTTCCTTCACTTATTTGTAGTTCCTCTTTTGTAACCTTGAGTGAAAATTTTAGAAGTGGACTTCTAAAGTCTTCAATAGAAACTAATATTTCTGATGAGAATAAATCATGGACAGTGATGTTATTTCTGGAAATTAGGGAAAAATACTGTTCCACAAACACTTCTGCAGATGCAGAAGGGAAATTATGGAAAACTGAAACCACATATTTGATCACAGCTAAAGTATCTATTAGATATTTGGAGAAACTGAGTTTGTTGATAAGGAAGTTCATGTAGGTTCTGGAAAGAGATGAGGGTAGAGATACAGTTTCGGATCATCAACATTTCTATTGCACTATGGCCATAGACATTATCCCAGTGGTTACTGAATTTGATAGATGCAGCTATTCTAACTAGGAGCCCTAGCCCACTCTGAGTCTTAGAAGACAGGAAGAAGAGGAAGAATTGTGAGAAGCAGCAGTCAATGGGAAGGAAGGAAACTAGATGGATTTTATTGAAGGGGGTTGTATATGTGTGTATGTTTCTTATTTCTGTCTTTGTCTCTGCCTGTGTGTCCTCTCTCTCTCTCTCTCTCTCTCTCTTTCTCTCTCTCTCTCTCTCTGTGTGTGTGTGTGTGTCTGGCTGTCTGTCTGTCTGTCTGTCTCATTATGCCCTCCACCACACACAGGAATCTAAGCCACATTCAGTTGAGAGTTGACTGTAAGATGAGACAGCATAAATATACTGACAGCCTTAACCACTGTGGTGGTTTACATAAAAACTATCCTCCAAAGAATCAGGCATTGAGCACTGGTTCCCTAGTTGGTGGTGCTATTTGGGGCGTTTAAGGGGTCCGGCCTTGCTGGAGGAAGCATTCATTTGGGACAGGCTTTGGGGGCCACATATTCTTTATAGTTCCAGTTTGCTCCCTGCTTTGTGTGTATCAGTGAAGACGTGATCTTTCAGCTCTCTGCTTTGGCCACCTGGTGCCATTGTGGACTCTCCTCCTGGAATGACAACTCCACATAAACTTTTCCTTCTATAAATTGCTTATGTCTATGATGTTTGATCACCACAATAGAAAAGTCACAAAATGACTACCATGGTTTCAGTAAAGAAGGAGTATGAAAACAGAATCAAAGCAAGCATAAGAAAGAATAAGTGTTCTTTTATACTATCTGTGGAGTTTGGGTTGGTGGGAAATAATATCCCAGGTTTTAAAATAGGGGTTAGGACAGAATATACATGTTTACATGCCTACTTCAATGAACAGTAAAGAGGAGCATTGATGTGGGAACATGTGAAAGAGATAAGCACCGGAGTTATTCATATGTGTGTGATGGGTTAGCCACATGATCCTCATTTGGTAACATAAGCACACCAACTGAATTTATTTTTAACAAGAGTACCATTTTCTTAACACTTCTCTTTCTGGGGGTGACAAGAGAACAAAGATGATTATGCTGATAATTATTACTACCATTCTCTGGCTTTGGTGTTGGTGATTGAAGCCTGACCTCTATGGCTGTTAGGCAAATACTCTGAAGAGCACCCCTAAATATTCAGAAATATTATTTTGACTCTGGTGAGAAGATACTGAACTCTGAGAAATCAGACTAAGTGTGACACTCATCTTATTGAATGAAATAAGAAGCAACTGCTGAAATGCAGAAGCACTTCCAGATGAATGCTAACCTCAAACCTGTCTTCAAACATACCAAAAAGGCAAGTGGGGATTATTCTCCAGACACAATGAACTCATGGGGGCCTTGGCACAAATTAGTGGGGTTATTAATTTCATTATGGTTGATTATTTTTGTTTCTTTTCAGTTGATTTGTTTTTGTGTCTTTTCAAGTGAATAAAGGTGGCAAGGAGGAGCAAAGTGGATGAGGTAGAAAAAGAAACAGTGAGGACATATGGGAAATGGGGTACAGAGGGACTGTGAAAGTGTTAATGAATTGGCAGTCTTATATGTGTGGAGGAAATGTTGGCAAGGGACAATAAAATAAGTGAGCAAAGAACTATCAATAAGGCATTAGAAGGAAGGATGATGGAAACTGACACCATGCATTGGTTCAGTGTGACATGGAGTTGATGAATTGAGGTGGGAAGGAGCCAATATCATTGAAGGTACCATAAAGAACTAACAGTTCAGGGAATCAGATGGATTGTCTTCATGAAGAGTGTAATTACCAAGATTGATCATTGAGGTAATTGGAAAGGAAGTGATCCCCAGATGCTAATTTCTTCAGTGAATGCAGGAGGAAGACAGAAACCTCCAACAAGGAATGCGTGAATGTCTGATAACACTTGATTTAATAAGGCTAGGCAGTGCACGAATGAACATTGGCCATCCAAATAAGGAAAAATTAAGCCGTGATGATGATGATGATGATGATAGAATCACATCAATAATATCAATGGATATTTCAGTTTAATAAAACATAGATTCATATTATTATAAATAATTTCTTCAATTGTAACCATTTGTTTGCTAACACCAATGATTTAGAGATATAATTACATAGCAATGACCATGACTAATAAGTATAAATGATAGGGTTTGCATCAATCTTCAATTATTCTTATTCCCCTCTAATAATCACATAAAAAGTAAGTATTTCTGACGTTTATAGAAACAAGGCAAACGGAAAGATTTTTTTAACGTTTTTAACTTAACCAAATTATACTGACCAGGATTGCTGGACTGGGCCTCCATGGGAATCATGAGCTTTGCCCTGGTGGCTCGGCGAGCTGCAAGGGACCTCTCCAGAGTAGACATGGAGCTTCCTGCTTCTTCAGAGTCTTGACCTAAAAATAAAAAAAATATTGATTATAAGAGCAATAGTAATAATCTCCAAATAAATGTATTTTCCTCTAAGTAAAACATTCCTATATGTAAACTATTCGATTTTATAGTTAAAAGACTGTACTTCACCAGAAAATCTTTTAGATTTGATAAATGCTTTCATCAAAATAGCATGATATAATAGCAAAATAAAAAGAACAAAGCTAGAGATATCACCACACATAAACTCAAGTATATCTTAGAGGCACAGTTGCAAATACTATGTGGTATGTGGTACTGGCAGAAAAACAAATATGTAGAGTAGAATGCAGGACCAGAAATAAACCTACACAGTTACAGCCACCTAACTCTCAACAAAATACCAAGCATGCATGCTGAGGGAAAATGGGTACATCCAAAGATTATTAATTCTGGGAAATACTTAAAAAGGAAGTATCTTTCCACTGTAGAGACTTGATATCTAAAAACTCAAAAGAAAAGGAATACTGGACTGAAAAATAGTTACTGGAGATCCACCATGGAGTGCCTCACCCTCCTTGGGGATCAGACCAGAGATTGGGTGGGGGACTGCAGGACCTGGTGGAGAGGGCAGGGGAGGAGGGGAGGAAGAGGGAGCTGGGATTGACATGTGAAACAAGATTGTTTCTAACCTAAATTTTAAAAAAATTAGATGCAAAAAAACGCTTCCCCAAAGTTTAGCAACATATATATACATATATATTTATATAATTAATATATTTATGGAAATACATAGTAAAATTAGCAAAATCTATGCCATACATGTTGCTGATACACTCCTGAAAAATAGAGACAATTGCAACATTTTTCAAAGCAGTGAGAAGAAAGCAAATTAATTCATGTATAGTGATGCGACACTTTGAAAAAAAGAAAAAAGTGCCCTGTAAGCAATGCTCTCCTCATATTGAGGACAGACAAATAGAGAAAAGTGTTCTCTCATTCCAAAGCAAACAGTCACCACTGAGGTCAAGCCTCCCTTAGTACTTATTGAGAAACATAAAACTGGTCTAATTACTCCAAGGGTCTTCTCAGTATAGAAAGAAAAATGGGGGGGGGGGGTAAATGGCATCCTGGAAACCCTTTAAAAGTCTTCTGAAGACAGAGTGTCAACCTCCTCCTTGTGAGGCTGTTACCCCTAATGTCCAGTCCAGAATTAAGCTTCAAGTTGAATCCTCTGAAAAGAATAAAGTTCCTGCAAGAAATTTGTTTTCATTTCATTCTGCAGATGAACAGAAGCTTTCTTTAGCAGTGGCCTGGATGACCTATCATGTGTCTGTCTAAACAGAGGGAGAAGTAATAGATGAGACCAGTACCTTGTAAATACAAGATCCCTTATGGCTACTTTTGGTAAGGATGTAGGAGCTTCTTGTGGGTCGAGCAGAAAATATACAGACTGTTACTCAGGTTTGATTCCTCTTGCTGAAGCTGTGTAAGTACTTTCACACAGCAAAGGACCCATGACTATGTATGAAGAACCCTGATCTGATTTCCAATAGCATTAACTTGGGCAATGGAGGAATTCCACAAGTGTGGGTAAAGAACTTACATTTGTGCATCATGAAAGATGCAGCATAGGGATGTTATTATTATTTTTTTTTTTTTTTGGTTTTTTGAGACAGGGTTTCTCTGTATTGTTTTGGAGGCTGTCCTGGAACTCACTCTGTAGACCAGGCTGGCCTCGAACTCACAGAGATCCGCCTGCCTCTGCCTCCCGAGTGCTGGGATTAAAGGTGTGTGCCACCAACGCCTGGCTTAGGGATGTTATTTAGGAGGCCCCCCAGAGAAATGCAGTGAAGGATTCCAGGAGTCCATTTGAGTCTTCTATTTTTCATCATGGCATCTCCTTTCATGTTCCCAAAGAATGGAAAGGCAGGGTTCTGTGGCTTGTTTTCTTAACTATTACTCAAAGGTCCATTATTATTAGAGATCTAGTTACCAGCCAGTGGGACTACAGGGATATGCAGGATCATTTATAATGAAGTTAAGTGACTTGGAACATTAGAAGGAGATCTTGGGTAGTCATTCTCTTCTTGTGTTGGTTTGCCTTAATTTTGTGTCTGGCATTAAGTGAGCTAGAATCATCTGCCATGCACTCCCAACATGATTGGTAGTGCTATCATGGGCCAGAAGCAATAAGGCCAGGATAACATGGACAAAATCCCCTGAAACTCTAAACTGGAATAACCGTTCCCCTTATAGCTCAATTATTCAGGTATTTTCAATATGCTAATGTAAACCTGACTAATAAACAGGGAATGCAAAAAGGTGATTCTAAAACAGACCAAGACCCTTTTGCCCCATTCTAGGATTCTAATCTGCTTGAAGGTCCTAGGAGACTGAAAGAATAGATTGCAAACACAGTCTTCATATTCAAAAGTCTAACTGGCAGTGATGAAAGTGAACCTTTAAATTTGAGACTATAGTTTTCAATATGGCCAGGCTGCCCTTAAATCTGTTCAAGATGACCTTTAAAGACTAGGAAAGGAATACTGAACGCTTTACTTGAAAATCAGTGACTAAAATACTTATTTCAGAAATTTTGAAATGACAAAGTCGAGTAAACAATTTACACATTCACTTGATTAAAGTATTTCATTTAGTTTAAAAAGAGAGGCTCCTCATTTATCAACCACACTTCAAGGAGATTCAGAGCTTTTCTCGTGCTGATTTTGTGTGCACTTGTATTCCCAGTGAACAGATAATATGATGACCCCCAGAAAACAGCCTACTTTAGAACCACTTTATTGAACCCTTAGTGATCCCTGGATATCATTTATTATGCTTCAGTCTATTGAGCAATTGGCATTTTTTCATTTAGCTCTGTATACCAACAGCTTTCAAATGACTTTGTCCAGTGAGAGATCACATAATAATGTGACTGGATGACAGTTGATCTCCATGGTAATGAATGCCAAAATAAGAATATTTTTCATTCTTCAGGTGTTCCTAATGTTATTTTTTTTCAAACAATGAATCAATCACAAAGTTAGAATCATCTTTTAATAGCCCACAGAGATTGGGAAGTGGAAAATGCATGGCCAGCCTCAAACTTCATTGCCTTAACAACACTTTTGCGAGAATATCATTACCTGAATGCGAGGCGCTTTTGCTTCCCATCTGGGTTTCTGACTGGCTGTGGCTAACTGGTGTGAGCTCTTGACAGCTCTGGATGGGAGAGTCCCTCCCTGCAGGGTCAGTTCCTGAAGGCTTCTCAATATTCTTCATTTCCATTTCTTCATGGTGTATCCAAAGGTCAGGAGGTCTGAGGTCCTTTTGACTTCCTTTCCTTTTGCTCACACTGTGGGTGGCCCGTTTCCTACATAACAAAGTGAGAGAGCAGGTGTGAGTCCTTCTATGTAATGGTACTTCCTCCCTTTGCTTTGTCATTTCAGGTTGGAAGCAGAGAAAAGAAACAAAAGGACTCCCAGGAGGAATCAGATGAAAACCCAAAATTGGCAGGCATGTCTTGGCTGTCTTTCCTCTTCTCTCCCTGAGCCTTAGCACTTTTCTAGGAGATGCTGAGCTGAATCCCCAGAGTCCCAGCAGTCTGCCAGAAGTCATTCTCCAGCTTCAGCAGCTGGAGATTCATACACAAGGTGACAGTGGGTTAGAGGGAGCCATATGCCAATCTTTAGAGGTGGGCATAAGGTACCTGACTGCAACATCTGTTTCAGAGATAAATGAAGGAGTAGCTTTGAAAGGGCAGATAGAAATAAAAAGGCCGGAATTTGTGCCAACGGCTGAGATCAGAGATTAGAAGAAAGTCTATGCCTCAGCTGTAGAATTTAGTGTGCAACTGGGATGCTTCCTAGATGAATAAAACACTTTCCCTTGGTGTCATGTCTGGATCCAAACAGTGAGAGTTGTCTTCTGAAATTAGAAGAGAAAGAAAGGTCCCTTGTCTGGAAACGTGTTTCAAATCTCTCTTATTTGCTTCAGTAAGATTTTTAACTACCCATTTTTTTGCCAGTGATAATTACATCTCCAGGTTACTGGCTGTCAAATGCTGTCTGTGTACAAAGTAAAGTAGCACAGTGGTTATAATACTAATCACTTGCACCAGAAGCAAGCAATCCACAAAAAATATCTCACAGGCCAGATCTGCCCCAACCTGTCTTGTAATCTTGTAAAAAAGTTTTATTGAGATGTGGTGGCATTCCCTTGTCTGTGCACTGCAGTGGTAAAACTGAGGATCTGTGTACTGTCTGCTGAAAACTTAAAGTAGGCTTATGGTTAATTCCAGAACTACTTTTAACTGTACTTTCTAATTTTGTAAATGTTAATCTCGACTTGAAACTTCTGTGTGTGTGTGTGTATATATATATACACACACACACATATATATATACACATATATATATGAATGACAGAATGCAAATAGCTAAAATCTGGCTTGAATTGAAGCCCTTAACAATACGTACTTTTTTCATTTACAAATAATGGCCTTTATTGTTTGTTAAGTGGCCAAGACAAACTAATGTCTGTGTGTGAGTGCGTGCCTGTGCAAGGAGGCCAGAAGTCAAATTTTAGTGTCAATCATACAGAACAGTCTACCTTTTTTGAATCAGGGTCCTAGAAATCACCAATTAGGCTGGCTTGCCAAAAGTCCCAGGTATCTGCCCATCTCCACACTCCCTGAGCCTGAACTGCAATGCCTGGTTTACAAAGGTATTAGGAATCCAACTCAAGACCTCATGTCTGTGCAGCACAAGCACTTAATTGAATGAAGCATTTTCCCCAGGCCCCAAACAAACTAATCTTAATGAAAACACTATAACCTATGAAAAACTATTGGGAATGACTTTGCCTTCTCATTTGCTGACTTAGAAGCTTTGAAAATATTTTCTAATTAATGCTCAGCAGTATACTTTGTTGAAACTTCCCATCTTTCTTGTCTGTCTTTCTAAAGTATACTGATGAGAACAGGAGACAAAGAACTCCAGACTTAGCATCTGCCTTGTGGTTTAGTAGAGAATAGTGTGTTTGCTGCTCTACTACCCTCTCAATAACTTCTAAGTTGGTATCATGACAGCAGCCTCACATTGACCTTGACCATGCTCAATCCTAAATCCTAGGTAATTTTCTGGTACCTAAGATAATAAACACTGGCCTCCATTATATGAATCTGTTTTCCTATACTTCACCTTCTCTCCTCAGTAGATCTTTAACACTCAAAGAAGTGTTTGTTGTCTACGCTGAATGATAATATAGAAGATCTTGTTATTGTCAAACAAATCACCTTGTTGTCTTTCTTTCTTTCAGACTAAGATGCTAAGTGACTTCAGGATTCCCATGATTGTCTTCAGAGAAGTAGCATTCCCCCACAGAATGTCACCATGTGCTTCCTAGGAGTAACTCAATATTTAAATAGTTCATGGAGAAAATACTGACCAACACTTTTTAGTGGGGTCAGAGAGATGGCTCAAAGCACTTTATCTTTCACATGACCCAGGTTTGATTCCTAGTACTCTAATCAAGGCAGCAAACAATGACATATTACTCCAGTTTCAGTGAATCTGATACCGTCTCAGGCCTCCCTTGATACCCATATGCACAGCACACACACACACACACATACACACACACACACACACAACACACACACACAGAAAGAGAGAGAGAGAGATTAAAAAATCTATCTATTTATTTATCTATGTATCTATCTATCTATTTTGCTGGAAAGCAATGTGTTATTGGTCAAGCCTTCAATCCCAACATTTAGGAGACTGCGGCAAAAAGACAAATTGAGTTTCAGGGTTACATAGTGAATGGTAGGCCAGCATGATTTATAATTGAGACTATTTCTTACAATATCAAATAGATAACCACACACACACACACACACGGAGAGAGAGAGAGAGAGAGAGAGAGAGAGAGAGAGAGAGAGAGAGAGAGAGAGAGAGAGAGAGTAGGGGGATGAAAACTTTTCTTTTTGAAACCAGTAATAAATCAGTAATTCTTGTTGCCTCATGTTTAAAGGTATGCCTTGCTCAACCATCCATTTACCTCCATTACTCTAAGACTAGGAAGCCCAGGTATAATTTTTAAAAGTTTCAAATACTTGAAAAGGGAGTAGCTTCTTGTTGGTTGTAAATCACAAACTTAACTAGGAAGAGGAAGTCATGGTTTCTGGTGGGCATTTTCAGATACACATATTCTCTAGGCCACTCTCAGCTGACCAATGAGATGCTGGGGAAATCCTGCAGGTCTCTAAATAGGTTCATTTGCTGTTTGTGTTGTGCTTTGTCAGGTACCATTCACCAATAATCTTCGCTGAATGTGTGCTTTTCAAGAGAGGAGCCTTCTGCTCAAAATTTCCTCTCCGGCCCTTCAACGTGCACGGTGGCAGGTGTGCTATAAAACTAGCAGGTGCTCAAAACTAAAGCTTCTGAAATTTGTCTTCAAACTCTACACAGGGCAGCTGTCACCCTGACCTTCTGCCCATCTGTTGTCTCCCTAGCTTAATGGCTGAAAATATGGAGAACTCAGCTCTCTGGTTTCTACAGTAGAATCTTCATAACATGTGTGTAGATGGAAACTATATTGACTTTCCAAAGTGTGACCTAGGCGCAAAGTCTGAGGAGGCACTGCCTGTGAACTTGTCAGGACTACTGAACCAGAAGCCCTAATGGGGGTAGAGTTATCTGTTTTTAAACAGATAAATATGATGCATATAAAATACTGCTAGGTGATTTTCTATTTTAATTTGATTATATTTTTAATCTGATATTTCTATTAACTAAAGAAATACCACACATGGAATCCTTTCACACAATGTAAAAATATCATTTTCCACAGTTATAGTACCTTCTTTCAAAACACACCTTCAAAATGGGAGCTATGCCTTCCTGCCACAGGTACTCTCAAGGACAAAGAACACAGCTCATCCGGATCCTCTGTTTTGGTCCAGTAGTGCCCAGCAAAGCATTCCTAATATGATAGAGTCCTGGGCTCTGCTTGATTACTTTCTGTCCCCAACATTTTTGGAATTCTATTTCCTTAAATATACTTATTCTTCATTATTCCCTTCAGTTTTCTCTTCTACAGAGAGCCCTACCCCCAACTACTAAGTCAGTGAAATCTTAGACTACTGAACTCATTTCCCTATTTTTATGTCTTTCAGCTAGGCATTGGTTGTCAGTGTAAGCATTTCAGGATGGGTCAGGACAGGATGGAACAGGAGTGGGTCAGGTATTCTGGCACTTGGGAGCCACAGAATACTGAGTGTTACACAGCTCAGGTGGAAAGGTATCCTGGAGCTCGGGAGCCACAGAATACTGAGTGTTACACAGCTCAGGTGGAAAGGTATCCTGGAGCTCAGGAGCCAAGGACCACCACAGGTTGCAGTAAGCTTAGCTGCTTACAGCCTTGCCTCAGAGAAAGGCTTTGCCTGTGTATCAGCTCCACTCCTGCAGGAAAGGGTCTTCCAGCTGAGGATGTTTGCCTAGTGTAGGGCAGCAAGAGGTTTCTTGGGTGAAGTTGCTACAGTTCAGCTCTGCTCCTGGAGAGCAGAGAGTGGAGAGCCTGTAACAACTCTGCTCTGCCAAGGGAAGGTTTCCCAGGCAAGTGTTACAGCCCTGCTCGCTCTGCTCTGCCCAGGGTCGCCTCTGCTCCATCACAAAAGAAGATCTTCATCCAAAGCTCGTTCAAGGGGTTTATTGGAAGGGAAGAATCCAGGAGAGTGGCTGCCCTCTGCCAAAGTGGCAGAGGACAGCCATGTAGCAGGAACAGACACAAGCTGAACAGACACAGGGTTTATATAGGGCTTCTTGAGGACGGGGAAGGTTTTCCAGGGTAGGGATTGGTCCAATTTCAGTGCTGAGCTCAGATTGGCTAGATCTCTGCTCGAGGATTGGTTACTTTTCTGCACAGGATTAAGGTCAGATTTGGCTCTGGTTTCAGGGCCAAAGTGCGTTTCTTTCTCTGGTCCTTTTTAGCCATTTTGCTCCAATTTTAGGGCCAGGGTACATTTCTTTCACTGACTCTGATTCCAGGGACAAAGTGTGTTCCTTTGACACTGGTTTTAGGGTCAGGGTACATTTCTTTGGTTCTGGTTGCAGGGCCAAAGTGTATTTGTTTGGCTCTGCTCAGGGTGTGTTTCTTTGACTGGTCCCTTTTCCCCACAGTCAGGTGTTGTACTGAGATGTCAGGGAAGTTCACTGGCACAATACAATTCCTCCAGCAATGCAGGGCAAACACTCCTTTGCACCTCTTCAGTATTATTCAGTGTTTTACAATAATAAGTCATTAACTTAGTGAGAATTTGTATAAGAAACATACGACAAGAAATGTAAGTATTGCAAATATAAAGAACGG